TCATACAAATCTCATATTTCAAGATCTCATGGTTTCATACAAATCTCATATTTCAAGATCTTATGGTTTCATACAAATCTCATATTTCAATATCTCATGGTGTCGTTAAAATCTCATGTTTCAATATCTCATGGTGTCATACAAATCTCACGGTGACACCTGCCACTGACTGGGCTGTCTGTATTTCCCAGACGTCTGAACAGAAATTCTATCCCCCGCCTTCCGCTAGCTATGGCTATGAAAGGATGATGAATAAATTAGTCGCTTAAGCTTCGAATATCTTCCAGATACGATACAAAAACGTATGAATACCAAATAGCTCGATCTAATTAAAATCTTAATTAATTAGTTTTTAGCTTGAGTATACGTGAGTTTTGGGGTGTTGAAAAGAGTGCAACATTTTAGAATATGAAGTTGATTATTTGATTATTAATTAATGTGCACAGTACTAAAATAAACTCTCGAGATTTCCACAAAACAATAACGTATAACTAGTATAAGTTTGAAAGTCTTTCTCAAGTTTGAGCCTTATTGAATAGTACCTATCTTCAAGTTCAAATAGACTGGGTGTATTTGATGAAGTAACTAAATAGTTAATACTATCAACTAATTCAAGTATCTGCATGTTCTGACAAATTACACAGTGTATTTGTGATGTAAGCTGGAAAAACATGTGTGTAATAAATCCATTAATGTATAAGTAATAAAATATTCGCATATAGAAATCTATGTGTATGGTTGGTTGAATATAATATGAGTAATAAATGTCAGAAGTAATAAGTAGTGCATATCTGTAGATTTGAAAATTTAACAAAGTCTAATGAAGCTGATATGAGAAATGTTAGTCTGAATGTTTAAGAAAAATTGTCTGAATATTTTAGTAATAAATGCATTCAGTTTTTAGTATTGAATGTCCGCATCAATAAGGGAGGTAATATGTAAGTAATGAAAGCCAAGATGTGTTTAAAAATTCCAAGTGTATGAGTAATCCACGTGACCAGCCTGGAGTCTTCAAGATGCCAATCTATATTTAAACCCCAGGAATGTTTATTGGGCACGGGGTCACCAAGTGCAACATGGCACATTGTGTGTGAGCGGCCCATCAACGCTGCGGCTCCTGGGCCCACATTGTTCCACGGGAGCCACATCCAGGCAACAGCCACAACCGCAATATATCCCCACCCTCGGGGACACCGCTCAAAGCTTCCTCCCTCCCCAGGGGCAGCCCCGCCCTGCGCATGACATGGCCCGCGCTGATATCAATCATGGAAAAGCCATTCTTCTGTCTAGAAGACACATTCAGCTACAATCAAATCGGGATCGTAGCATTCGGTCTATTATAATTTCATCGCTGCTCGTTCCTGATCTGAGTATCGATTTTAATCGTTACACAGATGTTTTGGGAGGCGTGGGAGGAGGGGGGGGGGATGTAGAGGTGCTGGAAATGTCTGAAGGAATTTTTTTCTCGACACACAACACTGGCTACTATTTTTAGATTCTAAGACAATATAAAATTGCTTTGAGACCTAACATCCATATTTGTTTTTTGTTTTTTTTTTGTTTTAAAAAGTGTTTTACCTATAAATTATTAATAAGTTGTTATTAGCAGTTTGTGAATTTATGTTGTTTCAAATGTTTTTACCGTCCATGTTTATCATGTAGCTGAATTATTAAGTTGTTGTAAGAATTCAATAGCATCCCTAGTTTTAGAGATTAAAGAATCAGTGAAGTGATTTTATCCTCAGATTTCTGTCGTGGTCAGCCAATACGCTTAGTGTAGACAGTCAAATATTTTAACATAACTTCGGTCGCGCGACTGATATTGCTAACAGCTTAGAGAGAGAGAGAGAGGAGGGAGAGAGAGAGAGAGAGAGAGAGAGAGAGAGAGAGGATAGAGAAAAGATGATGTTGAAAGTCAGAGAAGAAATATCAGCACTGAGTTCTTATATACATTAGTCACGTGAATGACAAGTGCAGTGACACAGACAAGTACAGTGACACTGACAAGTTGAGTGACACTGACAAGTAGAGTGACACTGGCAAGTAAAGTGATACTGACAAGTAGGCTACAGTGACACTGCCAAGTTAAGTGACACTGTCAGGTTAAGTTACACTGACAAGTACAGTGACACTAAATGCACTGACACTGACAAGTTCAATTATTCATGCCCTGTATATAATCATTGCGAAGAAATCAAATTATCCTCTAATTGTAATTACAATCATTAACTAATTAATATAATTATAATTTTCTTAAAATCGTTAATACCATTATAGAACAAAATTAGTTTTAATTGGCATGGGGATAATTATAGCATATCTGTAACAACATTTCAATAAAATTGTTCGAAACAGTTACAATCACCTCAAGAATAAAAACTGGAAGATATTGAAACGAAGTTAACATCACAATAGTAGCTTTAAAATACACCTTCACACTGTTATTCATTTGTAACCTTTTTTTAAAATAAAACCCTCTGTTGTTAACTCCATCTAATGCTGACGTCTTCGGTCTATTTTTATCTAGGCTTTAACTTAGCGTTAGGTAATCAACACCAATCTGGCCCACTAGCCGGAGCTATTTAAATGAATTATCTGACATCGGCCAGATTTTTCGCCCACTACATGCCGTAACTAAAAATATCCACAACAATCAATTTAACTTGATTTTTCCCAACGGTGGTCAGCTTGAGTCCCATAAGCGCAGGAACACAAAACTAGACGAACGCTAAACTACGAGATCAGCATTTACAGTTGAATTAATGTTCATGAACAGCAACAGTGTAAATTTGTTGTTTGAGAGAAATGTAATAAGTGTGATAAGGTCTGGATTAACCATGGGTAATTTGTTGTACATGAATTTGTGATTTGTGTACACGTGTACAACATACAGGTGCGAGCTAGTTAACTGCAAGCAGTGACACATGTACGCAGTGTCAGGCCAGGCTTGTAAATGTAACAACTAGCTTTAAAATAAAGTACATTTTTGGTCAGTCATTAGGCTTGTCAATGTGAGGTTGTAGATGCCGATAGAACATAACAGCTAGCTTTAGAAGAAAGTATATTGTTGGTCGAGTGGTAGCTCACTCCAGCGCTAACATGAATCTCAAGTTCGGTTACTTAAATGGGATAGGTACCTGACATGAATCGGGGAAAATGAAGAGTGTTAAGCAAAATGTAGACCATACAATCTCTTTATGTGCTGAGTTCAAGGAAACAGATAAACTCTACTTTAGCTGTCTTAAGGGTAGGATATATTCTACTTTTAGTGTGGCTGACGGCATGTCATGGGTTCGGATCCCGGGCTTGATGTACCGGATTTATCCAACACAGTAGCTGTTTCTGGACATAGTGCTGACCACACTATCCCTTCATATGCACAGGTCACAAAAACAGATGGACTCTACTTCACTTGCCCCATGGACGACAGGTATGAAGAGGGAACGTTTTTTTTAAGTACCAGTCTCACGTTAGGGAAACAAAAGGTGGATGGCATAAACTGACCATACTATTCTTTCGTTAACAGATGAACTCTACTTCACCTGCAATATTGGCAGCCCGATATGAAAGGGTAACTTTACTTTTTTTTAAAACGATTACTAAAAATGCTAACAATGGCGTAGCCTTACCATCAAAACATGACTGGGTAATAACCACCAATTTCCTAGCACCACTGAATGCCTACTACTATAAACAGTTAAATGAATAACCACACATTTCCTTGTCCTACTAATATAAACAGTTAAATAAAGTTGTTCTGACCTACTGGAGGCCCCACCCCTATCTACAACACCAAGTTGACAACCTGATATCCCCAGGTATTTGCCGGCACTCTAATATTCGGGGTATAATCCCTTTTTTGTTGATATCTCTGGGCAAACACAAACTCAGGCCCCGTTAAACTTGTGTAGGAGTGACGTGGGTGTACGCATCAACCTTCACACGACACACCTTGTACACAACGACTAACGGACGACACACGGACAACACACGGACTAACGGACGACACACGGACACTAACGGACGACAGACGGACCGACAAAAGGACGACATACGGACCGACAAAAGGACGACACACGGACCAACCAACGGACGTCACACAGGCCGACAAAAGGACGACACACGGACACTAACGGACGACACACGGACCGACAAAAGGACGACACACGGACCGACAAAAGGACGACACACGGACACTAACGGACGACACACGGACACTAACGGACGACACACGGACCGACAAAAGGACAACACACGGACCAACCAACGGACGACACACGGACACTAAAGGACTACACACGGACCAACCAACGGACAACACACGGACATACAAAAGGACGACACACGGACACTAACGGACGACACACGGAGTGACCATTAGACGACACACCTTTAACGGACCGACCAAGGAGAACACACGGTTAAGCCAAACAGAAACCCCACCGTCTACATTCATTGTGTTAACAGCATGCGTCTATTTACACAACTAATTGTCTCGTCGCACACCAATTGTGCACGCTCTGGTGATTTCTCCCAACAGCGAGTTCAATCGAAAGTGTTGGTAGCAAGAAGTGCTCGTTCCAGTCCTTATTACACCGCGATCTGATGCAATTTCACATTACAAGGGGACTCGTCGCTATTTGCACGGCGAGAGATGATGGCCGATTTGTCGTCTGAAGAATCACTTACGTCTGTCGTCGCTCACCAACCGTCTGCCCGCGCCGGCTTAGTGTGAGCTTGTTGCCGCTTTACCCGCGCGGCGCTTTATGAAAATAGTGTTAGGAATAAATTAACTATAAACGCTGAGTAACGGGTATAAAGTATAAATATAAACCTGCTTTTCGTTCAAAACTAACTTTTACTAAACTATTTATAAATTTAAAATTAAATTCGAGTTTTATTCAATATAAAATAAACCAAACTGGCGACTTTAAATTTTTACAAAAGTGAAATAAAATTTGCCGTTTTTTCAAATATTTTTTTTTAACACGAGTAAGTCGTAATCGCAGGAACTACGGCGCGAGTTCTGGCAAGATGACGTAGTATGTCACGTGTCTGGTGAATCAACCGGTGCGTCTCAATGTGGGAGTCCTGGATGGTATAAATCGTTCAGTTGAGTTCGGTTTGTGGTGTAGCGATAGGAACTGGGATAGCTTGCTCCAGAGACTTAGGTAAGTAGGCACCGTTTTATTTCAGTGCAAATACAAAGTTTTAAAGGGCGTCAATGTATGGTGCGAAATATTTTATTTAAATAATTGTGGAGAGTAAAATTTTTCCCAGAATTTATTATTATTTTAAATCAGATCTGTATAATTAAACTGTTGATTGATCATGCAACATTTTTACTTAATCTTCGTCACCCATAAGTTTTGTATCTTGATCAATAACATACATATATTAGAGTTAATTAATTGAGTGATTATATTAATATAGTTGTGTTGAGTGCTTATATTTGCATAGATGTGTTAAGTGATTATTTCAGCATTATTGTTTTGGGTGATTATATCAGCCAATTTTGGTTGAGTTATATATCAGCACTGTTGTGATGTGTGATTATATCTCTCATAGTTGTGTAATATATCGGCATATTTGTGTTGAATGATCAAACCGCCATAGATGCGTTGAGTGATTACAGCAACAATATTGTGTTGAGTGATTTTATCAACACTATTGTGTTGAGTGATTATACCAACACCTATTGTGTTGAGTGATTATATCAACACTATTGTGTTGAGTGATTATATCAACACTATTGTGTTGAGTGATTATACCAACACTATTGTGTTGAGTGATTATACCAACACTATTGTGTTGAGTGATTATATCAACACTATTGTGTTGAGTGATTATATCAACACTATTGTGTTGAGTGATTATACCAACACCTATTGTGTTGAGTGATTATACCAACACCTATTGTGTTGAGTGATTATACCAACACTATTGTGTTGAGTGATTATACCAACACTATTGTGTTGAGTGATTATACCAACACTATTGTGTTGAGTGATTATACCAACACTATTGTGTTGAGTGATTATACCAACACTCTTGTGTTGAGTGATTATACCAACACTATTGTGTTGAGTGATTATACCAACACCTATTGTGGTGAGTGATTATACCAACACTATTGTGTTGAGTGATTACACCAACACCTATTGTGTTGAGTGATTATACCAACACTATTGTGTTGAGTGATTATACCAACACAATTGTGTTGAGTGATTATACCAACACCTATTGTGTTGAGTGATTATACCAACACCTACAGTCCCCCCGCCCACAACATCGTCTGTGATGTTCCCCAATATCTGCCGTTTGTTGGAACATTTGATCAAACTTCACGCACATATCTAATCAATGTTTGTGTTACAAGTTGATTCTCTTGGTGTTGAAGATAATTTTTGTCGTGCGACTTCGCGGTAATCTTGTAGCAGACTGGTTGATTTGGTAATGTAGTGATTATGTTATTAATTCAACTCGGTAAAACTTTTATCGGGAGTTTGAGAAAGATAGCGAGGGGAGCGGGTGATGGGGGGGGGGGGGCGTGGGAGGGGGATGCACTAGTTGACATTTAGGTTACTCTAATATTTAAAGAATTTTACACATTTCTGCACTTTGGATGAGAGCTGCCAAAAGTGATGATCATAACAAATGTATGAATTTTCGTTTATTTCAATACACGTAGTAAAAGAAATTCTTATCAAGGACCATGAGAAATGCGTGGACAAATAATAGACTGCCTTATCGTAGGGCAATTGTTCTTTGTAATTTATAAACAGCAACTACCTCGTGCGACCATAGGGACCAATGCTAGACTTTTGATACAATACTTAGAGCTGATGTCCATACTTTGGAAAGAAAAGTTATAACTAGACAACTATCACACTATCGACACAATTGTTGTATCTAGACAACTAACACACTTCCGACACAGTAGTTATATCTAGACAACTACCGACACTGTAGTTATATCTTATATCTAGACAACTATCTGACTTTCGACATAATTATTATAGCTAGATACTTGTTACACCTGTTGAGACAGTCACCATAGCTGAAATACCTTCAAACTGTTAAAATATTTATCGTAGCTATACTTCTATTAAAATGTTTACACATACATTATAGCTATACTACTACCAAAATGTTAACACATGCATCATAGCTATACTACTACCAAAATGTTAACACATGCATCATAGCTATACTACTACCAAAATGTTAACACATGCATCATAGCTATACTACTACCAAAATGTTAACACATGCATCATAACTGTATATTGATAGCTGTAGTTGTATCAAACTGTTGACACAAACATCATAGCTTTACTACTATCAAACCCAGCTATCATAGCTTTACTACTATCAAACCCAGCTATTATATCTTTACTACTGTCAAACCCAGCTATTATAGCTATACCTCTGTCGATAGCTGCACTTGTATCCAACTGTTGACATAGCGCCCACAGCTAGACCAGATACTAATCGCGATTTAATCTCCACCCAAAAAGATGTGCAACTCGATGCTCTAATCGCCGACTGTATCAATTTCACGTCTCCTAAAGCCACCCGACGTCCTTAAGTTTATTTTGATTTATCAATTATGGTTATTTACCTACGTATGCCTGCCTTAAACTCTCTAAGTGTGGGTCTTTGGCAATAATTTTTCTACTGCTTGAGAGTTTTTATCTTTCGAGGAAACAAAACACTGAAATGACAAGTTACACGAAGATTGTTCTTGTATTGTTTTTTTAAATGTCGCTAGCCCAACCACCCCCAGCAAACCTATACTTTTATTTCGTATTACATAGATAATAAACAAACTAACAGCCGTACTATTGAAAAGTTATAACTGTTGTGTGTGAAATCATTAAGTTAGGAAATGAGCTAGATGACGTGTTAGGGAAATTTAGTTCTCGTTTACTGCTTTACAAATCTATCTTCCCAACCCAACCCTACCCTTTCTACCCTATCTTTTCTCCCCTCCCCTCACAAATATATCTACCCAACTCTACCCTTCCTACCATACCCTCACTTTCTCTTCATTTTATCTTAATAACCCAACCAAAGTCTCACAACCCTACCCACACAATCCTACCCACACAACCCTACCCTCACAACCACACTTTACCCATATTTGTCCAGTGTCCAGCTTAACTCAATCCCCCCTCCACACTGCCCCCACGCAAATCTACGTACAAACGTACGTACAAACGTATGTACAAACGTATGTACAAACGTATGTACAAACGTACGTACAAACGTATGTACAAACGTACGTACAAACGTACGCACGCATATGTTTACCCGTTGACCAGGACCGACACCCAACACCACCTCGTTTAAAAAAACAATCTATTTTCGTCTAGTGAATCAACAATAACAAATTTTAATCATCTCCCACAAATAACAGGCTAGCAGCAGTTGTTGGCATTAATACACTTCCAACTTAACTTAGGTGATTAAACTAAGGGCTTGGCTAGGGTACCAAAAGTGTTTGGTACATGCTCAAAGGACGGGCGACTTTCAAGTTGTTTTTTGTCTTAAGCTATCCATGTTCCATTCATTTCAGTAGCGTAGCGAGGGGGGGGGGGGTGGCGGGGGGGGGGGACATATGTCCCCGGGCGCCGACCTTAGGGGGCGCCAAAATGGGTTGGAAAAATAAATTGAGAGGTTGAGGGGGGTGCAAATCGAAAGTTTGAGGGGGGGGGGGGTGCAAAACGAAATCTTGAGGGGGGGTGCAAATCGAAAAGTTTGTCCCCGGGCGCCGGGAAGGGTCGCTACGCCTCTGATTCATTTTTAAAGAACTTCTAAAGTTCTTTAATACGGACACTATTACAAACAACAGTTGTGATTGTGGGGCATGCAGTGATGGGAAAGTTAAAAAACTCTTGGTATGAAATCTCTAAAGTCCCGAACAATTCAATGATTAAAGTAAATGTTGCGTTAACTAATAATAGAGAATACAAACACAGATGTTACACACAAGAGCGTAGCATATATACATCATATAGGCCCTATATATATATATATATATATATATATATATATATATATATATATATACATATATATATATATATAGTGTTTGTGTGTGTAGGATTATGGTAGATTATGGTAGAAAACCCAAAGCAAACTTGCGTAGGAGAATATTGTATAAATTACACTATTGAACTACCACAAATAGAAACACATTATACAACCCTAAATATGGCATCAATTATTTTCTTTAATTTTCTAAATAAAAAATAGGCATTTTTAAATTACGCTGGAATAGAGACGAATCGTTTTTTGTTACATTAGATTACATTTTATAACTTTTCCCCTACTTTTTCCCGACTGAGGTTACTGCCAAAGTGTGTGAAGATACTGTTGTGAAAGTAGCACTAATTTCAAACAAATAACACATATTTTCTTTAAAACAAGGCGTAAAAAAGTGAATATCTTTTGTTTAAAGATGTGATTAACGTTTTTCTTTCCCTAGCGTGAAATATAATTTTTTTACATTTCGTTTTTCACATTTTCAATTTGGCTTTTAAAAATATTTTTTTTCTGGCCAATGAAATGAGCCAAAGTTGAGATAATAAACCCTGCCATCGACTGCGGGTCTTCTGCGGAATGTTATCTCAACGGTCGAGTCACGTGACCCATACTGAAGTTTAACCTGCCATTCAAATATTTTTCTTATAGTTTTGTAAGGGTTGAAGGTCAAAGGTCGCCCGAACTGAAAGAGCCGGCAGTGTCGGTAATACAAACAACTGGCTCTTGTTGAATGGTTTAATTGTACTGTAAGCATTCCAAAACTCAAGCCCATCGAGTTACTCAGTGCAGATTAGGAAGTAGGCCTACATTTTTATTCTTTCGCTTACGAATATATATATATATATGTATTAATTTTTAATTGTATTTCCGATTATCATTTTTATTTTATTTTCTACTGAGAATGGAGAAAAGTATTCATTGTACAAAAACTCGAAATAGACATTTTTTTGAGATGGAAAAACTTAATTTTTCTACCATGTCTGTATGTTTGTGTGTGTGTGTGTGTGTGTTCGTGTGTGTATCTGTCTATATGTGTGCGTATATAAGATAACTTAAGAGGGACGAAATTTTATACATAATTATTAGATCCTACTCTAGGAAGTATTCAGGTAAACGGAAT